CTTGACTGACAGAATCCAGTCTGCACCAAATGAAGGCCTAGGACGCATGACATTAGTCACTACCTAGTGTGTAATTAAGGTGACAATGCAATACTTAGAGAATCATCGTGACGACAGACATCAATTAACGCTTTACTAAAATGCCTTGAGTGAATTTTCATAGAAATCTTGCTTACTGGATATTTACAGAATACCTGTGAACTCAGTATAATTCACCATTTGATAATTATGGGCGACATTACTTCTGCTGTACCACTTGTGTCTGTATGTGCTCTAGATAGTTATCTGACAATCGATTATGTAACTGTTATTCATGTCAACCAGTAAAGTTACTGCTACACGTGTGTGTACACTCAGGAAATTACCGTTCAAATTCATTCGTGTGACATCCAGACGTTGGTCGTTCCAGGCAATCCATTTAAAATTACCCCTAAGGCATGTGTTTAAGCAGAAATGAAATGTCAACCTTCTAAGGTAATCGGGATGCAATATCTACGAATATATATATATATATATACTTTGGCAGACATGTCATGTAGCAAGTACATCGCAGTATTCAAATGATGAAAACTTTGAAGACAAAAGCAGCAAAGAAGGTGGGAAACTTATCTCATTTATTCGAAACACGCATTTTCTGTTCGTTCAGCGTATTATTTTCATCGTGCCTTTTGTAGTTGTATCTTATGCTTAATTGACTGAAAAGTCAAAGAAAGAATTTTCTTTTACTCTTTTTCGTGATTCTTTTATTTTAAGTATTTGCTTCTTTTATTAACCTAATAGCCTGTAATGTCTGACAATCCTGTATTATTCACGACTATTAATATATCTATCCCATCTAAGTAAAATGTTATAATTCATAAAGCATGTCTAATCGAATAAACTCATAATCGTGTAAATATCATGAACTGAATGTTCACAGAAAATATGTGAAGTATATGTCTTAAAATGTTATCAGTTAAATATTAAAAAAAGAAAAGAAAAGAAAGAGAATAAATTAGGCGGAGAAGAATTAAGAGGAGGAGAATTATTGTAAACATTTTTCTAATACACATAACTTCAAAACACTTAACAGTGATTGATGTCACTGTAATCACATTATAAGAGAAGACAAAATAATTGCCACCATCATCACCATACCCATAAAGTGTGATATATATTCATTCATTGTTTTGGTGTGTCTCTGTTTACGACGAAGACGTTTCTCTCACTTTCTCCCCGTACTATTGGAATTTATAATTCATTTTTGATTTTCACCTGAAATAGTCACACACACACACACTGACAAAAGTTAATAGGAGGATTGGATAATTAAAAGAGATTAGTTTTTGATTGTATGTCTCCACTCACTTCGTGACACCATGAATGCTAATATAATGATTATGAAGGCACATCTCGTTACACTATAGGGGTGTTAGTTTTCAGGAATATATCCTTATGCAAAGAGAATCAAAGTATATGTAGGAGAAACGATCAGTAGACACTCACTGATTCGCTTTATCAAGCATGAAATTGTATGTTAATTTGATTTTACACATATAACTGAGAAATTAGGTCAGTTATACAACGCAGTGAGTAAATATTTCATTGTACGTGTATGTGTGAGTAACTTAACAACACTTCTTTACGTCAAATATTTTGCAAATATCTACTGCAGATCATTCAAAAGTTTTCTTCCTTGTTTGTATACTGAAAATGGACGGGAATCTTTACTGGCTTAGTTACTAGGACAAAAAATATATCAACAGATGTTTGAAATCAGTATCGCTGGTTCGTCACCACAGGAAAAATAACCGTAGCGCTCGAGGGCAGTATAAGTTAATCGTGTTAATGATAAATAAAGCTTTGGTTGAGATATGAAGTAAATAAAGATAGAATGACCTCACTGTGCTCCTACAGATGATATTACTATCATTTACTTTGTTTTAACTTATCACCACTTCAAAGTCCTGAGTTTTCGTGAACAAGCAGCTATGTTAAGTTACGCGTACCATTTTGTTTACAAAGTATGTTTCGCCATCTGTTTTTGCGAAAACTACGTACTGTGATGATTAGTAATGTGATGGATAGTGACAATGTGTATGAGAATTTTATAAACTGGGGCAAAAATAGCTTATTAATCTGCATCGCGGATCCTCTCTTCTGATATGATTCAGTTGTATCTATTGGGGCATCAGTAACTACAACGTTTTGTACACACTGATTTGAAGTGGCAACTCATTTTACGCTTGTTGTTTTTGAATGTATTCCATTAAATCCAATTATACTAACTGAACATACACTTACTAACATCGTGGTGATAATTATGAACGAGAGTAGCAGGAGCTAAGCTCAACTGAGCATTTTTCGTTGAAATTATCTGAAACCTGGTTATATATCTTATGACACACTTACTATGCATACAGTAATCAGACAAATTGTCTGTTGCGTATTAGTTATGTGCTGACTAACCGTGAACAGTATTCCATCAGTCATTATTATTTGCTTATCTAGATTTATTTTATTTTATTAATTTCAACAAGCAGGTGGTGGCTAAAGGTCGTTCTAGTTTCTAATTAAGATCCGTTTTAATTTGAATACAAAGTGCCGTAAATTTCTCTGTCAACGGCTTTGTTTTCAGTCGACTAACGTTTATCCAGCTTTTAATTGTTGCAGACACTTTTAAAGCTCTATAGATTTTTCAGTTAAAACATCAGTTTATATGAAACTTCACTATTCTGTTAGATAAAAAAAGGATGTGTAGAGGACGAGACCATTGGTTATGGAGTTCCACCAAATGTAAGACTAAATTTGATGCATCTTTTTGAGTCTTCTCCCAGTTTAAATGATGTTCTGCACTAAACGTTGATTTATAAACTCTGTCATTATAGTTTACTTATAGATTTCGTTTATTGTTATTATTCTCTTTGGTTCGGAGTGGAACATAGGGCTTCAACAGAGCATCTCTATTTTGTCCTGTTCTCTGAAGTCCTCTTTAGATGGCCCCAGGATCACTCATAAGCTTTCATCTTCTTCTCCTCAAACAATCTACTCACTATCACCCTTGGACGTCCAACCCATAGTTTCCCACTGAAGTTCCAATCACGGGCCAGGTATGGCATGTCACCTAATGACCTCTGTAGCATGTAACCGATCCATCTCAATTTTCTTCAGCATACATGTTGAACAGTAGGTTCTTGGTCGGTCCTTCCTTGGAGTTTCCTGTTGTTAATTCCTTCTGACCGTCTGATTTTCACTATGAAACTAATGACGGCAGCTGGTGATAGAAGTCTGCAGTCTGTTGGAAATGATCTTCATGACTCAGGCGCCAAGTTCCCTATCAGTATAGAAGAAGTGATTTAATTATTAGTGCTGAAAATTCGAATTTCCTTCTTTGTTTTGAGTACATCAGATTTCCACATAGATTTGAGAGTAATGAAGGTCTGCTTCGCCTTTTCCATTGTGGTTTTTATTATCCTCATCCCTTTCGCCTGAAGTTGAATCGATGCTGCCTAGATACATAAACGAATTTGACCTTTGTTGTAGTTTGTACTTATTTTGTTTGACAGAGTTAATCCGTAAATAGTTAAAATCTATGCAGACATGTGCATAAGTTTTTCTAAGAATTTACCACAAGTTGAAGGGTATTGCAAGCCCATAGGATTTTTTTTTCTATCATACTTATGATTTTGTTGAAAAACATTGTTAAACACTTTCTAAAAAGAACATGAGACAGTAAAATTATTGTATTAAGAAATATAACCGAAAATTTACACTATGCAAATAACAGCAAATAGCCAGTTTATTACTTTACGGTAAAAAGTACACACAGAGTTATTTATGAAGAGTCAATAAAACAGTTAACTGTTGAATTCTGTTTGAATTTGGTTCAATCGTTTTAGGTAGGTGAAGACAAATGGTCATCTAGTACAACACCATTCGGGCAATAATGAGTAAAGGATTAATTATACTTTTATATTCATTTCTCATGGTTTTCGTTAATGCTATTTAACAAATTGCTTTATATTGGAAAATATGTTTGGTTGAATTGTTAATGACAAATAAGTTACTTTATTTTGCAGGATAATATCAGCAAATGAAATTTAATAGAAAGTGTACAGCTAGAGGGTTTCATCGACTCTGTTTTAACGGAAATTTGTAAAACAATGAAGTGAAATCGCTAGTTCAACAAAATTAATAATTATAATAAATTGTAACCACATGTTTTCATTTCTTATATCTGGACATTATTGATGTGAGTAATTATTATTGATCTACTGACATTTCAAGATACTGAACAGCTGTAAGAGATAAGGGAAGGCCCATTATGAATACCTTTCCTAGCTTTTGTAAAAACAGGAATGATATATCCTATTGTTAATATGCACATCCTTTCAGTTGTGTTTGCAGAAATATGTTTATAGATGCACGATAACAGTTTACTTACAGAATTTAGAAACGACGGCCTTCAGTAATATATCCTCCTAATCCATCTCTCAGTTCTGAGAGTTTGAAAGACGAGTAAGGCTAAGATGCGTAGGTCTTTTCCCGCTAGAATAACATAAAGTGAAGTCACAGAATCTTCTGGTATTTAAACAAGAAAACACTAAGTATTTTTCAGGACAATCGTTTTTCTTAAAACCAACTCTAAAAGAAAGAATTTCTTGAGCCTATTCTAGAAAATGACTTCAACATTTAGTGAATAAACTCTAGGTAAGATTGTTCTAGATTTTGATCATTCTTTATTTACACTTTATACACGTCAATAATTAACTACCTGTCAGATGTATGGATGAAGGCTAGTGCATTTAATTGTTTTCCATCTACACGACTATCTGAAATGCGCTCAAATAATTTTGAAGTTACTCACTGCAACCACTATAATGTAATGATCAGTTTAGATGGCCAGATTTTTAATGCCAAGAAATATACAGTTGTTTTAAGATTGGTCCAACTTATTTTATCATGAAGTTATTCTCCATTGATTATCTTTGCAGGATAAGTATTAACAGTCCTCTTTAGAATTAAATAGACGAACAGTCTGCTATATTTTGTACAAAGAAGGTATCCTTAATTTTTGTCTTGTTCAACTTTTGTATTGATGTATTGAGCAGCAAGAGTTGACTACATCTAAAACACAGAGAAAATAAGGCATCGTTGGCAGAAAAAAGACGTAGATTTGAATACACACAGATAATTTTAAGGTAAGTCAATGGAGAACATTTTATACAGTGACTGTTGTTTGTTGGAAGTATGTATTAAGCGTTCCACTTATATCTTATGCTTCTATAATTATAATAGTAAAATATCTTTTTCTTGATATTAGTGTATACAAATAATGTGGAATTCTCAATTTATTTGAACTGCAAAATATTTATTTTTCATGCATGATCTTCATCATATGAAATTTTATTTTTTCATTTGAGATAACGGCCAATCCTCTGCGACATTTTTAACCCACCGTTCCTTAGAAAGCTAGTTGAAAGTATCTCGAAGATCAATTAGTGATTCCAAAACACAACCGGATGATTAAAACACTAAGATGTAGGGGAGAATTTATGAATCGCGCTTCATAAAAGTTTAGGTAGCTTAGTGATTTAAGCAGGTCGCCACGTGAGTTCACTTAAAGGCGTTTGGGAGATATCCGGAGAGTTGATGGATTTTAAGATATTCGAATGTTAATCGACAGTAAATTATAAGTTCACCTCTTAAATCACATTAATCACACGTTTTTTACTCCTCTACGTTCCCAGTGGCTTCAAACTATAGCTTTGAAGTTTCGGTAGCAGTGAGTTTGCTAGCCTAACCTTCCCTCTTTACCAGTCTTAATACTGGCTTAGCAAGGTAAAGGAGCGTGTTGGCCAGTGATCGAACCATCTGCATGGTTGGCGGCATGCTACCACTTGCCACCGACGCAAAAATCAAATATACGCTAAAAGGGTATCGAATTTCAATGAGTACTGAACATGAAGTTAAAACAATATGAAGTGAACTTCAAGAAATTCTTAGTGACTTAGCGAGGGAAGTGTGTAACGTTTCCAATGCTTTAAAAAGCATTTGGCTTAGAATAAATGTACGTTTCTTTTCCTTTTGCAACAACATTACACCTGTATGTTACTATGGCAGATCAGCGTAGAAGGGCACTTCTCTGTGTTAGCAGAGTTATCTTGACTGGTAATGTAATTTATCTGCGGAATTAGTTATGCCAATCACCATTCACAAAGTCTTTCCTCCACACCCAACTCATTAGTAGTAATTTATTTTCCTTACCCTAAGAATTATAATAGTGTCTCCGTTACAATTTTTAACGAATGATATTGAAACTTATTACTGATATAAAGGCCTTCACTGAATATACTTTTCGTGTAGTAGTAATATAGTAGTAGTGATTACTTCATTTCAAACAAAATTTCGATGCTATATGGAATTTTCAGCATTTCAATAGAGTGAAACACTTTTGGTTCTCATATAGATACCTTTCAGCTCAGTGACCTTAGCACATAATAAACATTAAAAGGACTGTGTTATATAGCACATAGGAATTTTTAGGCTGTAAAAAGAGTTAGTAGTAAGTTTTTGACCTAAATAAGTGACATTTTTGTTGATAGGTATTTTATTTCTTGCTAGCGACTGGTTAAAGTAACCTTGTCTGATACTGGAGATCCTGTTTGTTCTCACCTTCCTCCTTCGGGTAAAATTCATGCTCGTACGATAGAATATATATATATTTAGCATAGGTACTGTCTGAAGGGACAAAAATATCAGGAAAGAGCTTATAAATCTACTTTGAAGTCAACTAATGAACAGCAACTTATAGTCGGCGTAATTATTACTTCCATTACTTTTCTATTAATTTTATTTTTTACTGTTTGATTATATTTACTATTTTAATTGTTTATTTGCATGAGATAAACTAATACAATGTGTACACTGCTGAAAATTCTATTCTGTGTGATAATTACTGTTTGAAATAAAGTTGTTATTAATAATAATTATTTATTTATTTACTGAATACAAAGTCTGCCATATCTGTTGTAACTCTTGTTTCAATGTAGATGATAAGTGGAAGATTTCGCATTCGGTCCAGAGAGCATAAGAACCTACTAAATTTCCCGATGTTGGTTTTTATGAAGAGGATTTATACTATCTCATGGGATGATGTTCACCAGCTGATTGGAAAACTTTAGATGTCTGTGAACAACAGCGTTAGTTAATCTATTCTTAGACATTTCACTAACCCTAATTGCAGCCTATGAAATTCTACCTATTGTAACGTAGTTTCATTTAAGCAGTCAAAGAAAAAGATAAGGGGAAACGGTATTGAAGAATAAATAAAATACAATAATTTATAAGGGTTAGAGACACAACCTTGTGCGTCAGTGTCATAGCGGTTAGGACGCTCGCCGACCATGTACATGGTCGGGGGTTTGATCTCCGGCCGACGAACTCCTTTACCTCACTGAACCAGTAACGAGACTGGTAAAGAGGAAAGGTTAGGCATGAGGCTAGCAACCCCATCCTGTAAAATAAACACTGCTAGAGAAACTTCAAGCCACTAGCTTGAAGTCCTATATTCCACTGGGGAACGTGAAGGAAAAAAAAGCGACACACCCTGCTTACATAACAAACATTCAGAAAGACGTTTTTCGTAGTTGACAAGTATCATAAGAAGAACTTGAACCGAGACAGATAATATTTGGTTTCTTTCTCAGATGTACTATCATGTGGTAAAGGCAGTTTATACAAGTTTTGTTCTTACTTGAAATTAAAGCCAGCAAAAAGTGATATAAAATATTCTACTACACTACAATAAGATTTTTCGTCACCTTGTTATATTGTTTGGGTGGGTAATCCATTCATATTGAGTTAATTGTAACTTCAGCTGCTTTTGTACACAGTCAATAGTTTCATTTCGCGTTATTTCCGTTATATCAGTGTTGAATAAAAGCATCATTTTCAGTAGATTTAATTCAGTGATATCAGGCTGCAAGAAGCAAGTTAATAAATAGAATAGACACATTTTTGTTAAATATAAAAACATGATCATTGCGGAAAATATACAGGTGTGAGATGTGGTTATCCGGATTTATATTTACAGGGGGTGGTGGTATCAAATACAGTTTAGAAATTAAAAGGCTGTCTGTAATATTTATGATTTCATGTTTTAAGTTTTGGTAATTTTAATTTTAAATGAGCACCAGTACTGATTGTAACTGGGCTTTATGAGTTAATACCAGTTATAAACATGAATCAGTAATCAGTGTGGGTAATGCCAAGTTGAATACAAATGCAACACTGAGAGATCATACAGTGTCTTACGTTGTCCAAACTACTTAACACTAAAAATCTAAAAAAAATTAGGATGAATATATACGCTACACATATTTTATAGGTAGTGACTATCATAATTCATACCTTATTAGCCATAAATAGGTTTTTCTCTTAAGTTATAGCTAAATAATCGTTTTGTAGAACGAACTGATTATCGGACATTATGGACTAACATGCGGTCAAACAAAATGACAGTAGAATATGTGGCATCGAGGCTAAGTAAATATGTAATCAGACTGACACTGGCTATTCGTGGACAAAATTTCATCTGATCAACAGAAAAATGTGGTGAAATTTACTAGAATAAGGCTGCAGGTCCCCAAATCAGTAGACGAATCATACTCATCCTCCTATGATACTTGACGTCTTGGTCTCCATTTTGAATGTACGCGTATGTTTCCAGTGATAATGAGTTCAAGGGTACAACACTTAAACAGATATTGGAAAATAAATCCATTTTGAAGCCATTTCGTTATTTTCTAAATGAATCTTTTAAAGGCCAAGTCGCTTGAAGGGTTTTTAGCTAAATCTGTTTATTGTAGAAACGTTTGACATATATGAGGATGACTCTAGACTATGTCTGTATAGGCGATTTGTCCAATTATTATTATTACCATGACTTTACACTTGTAAAACGATTTGGTGGGTAATTCATGTTGATTCATTCTGTCTTCTTTCCTTTCAGACTTCTAAATCTCCTACTATCATGAAGAATATTCCTGTTTCCAAGATGTTGCCGTTTTAATCGTAATCATTTCTCAGCGGTGTTCATCAATTAATACTTCTAGATTATGCAAGACTACTTAACTCGGTTTCGTATTTTGTTCATTATTTTTCCTGACATGTAATTTCATACACTTCTTACCAAATGATATTAACTGCTGACCTTTGTAGGCGTTTTCATAACCTTTCAGAACACCATATAACTGTACAGCTTTCAAGTGAAGTTACGAAAATAGATACTCTTTGCTGACATATGTCTTTTAATAAATTGAGCTTTACGCGGATCTTAGAAGACATCTTCGTGTATCACTTGATCCTATTTAAATTTTTATCTGAAAGCATTAAAGATGTGCCTTATTTTCATTAGGGCATTCTGAATTAGTGTAGAGACTTTTCGCACGTACAAGCATATCTTGTGCCAAATATCAGTTTTTTATTTTAGCTGACACGCAGAATCATAACATCCAAAGGCCTAGATAAATGTGATTGGCAGGCCATAATCATTACCTTGTCTGAAGCAATAATCGTTCGAGTTTGACAAAGCACAAAAACTGCGCAGTGTTTTGCATTTCTACTAAATATTTACTTTGAAAAGTGTAAATTTAAACTTAAGAAGAGAGTTTTTATCCACACATTTAGTGGTATCTAATGGCTATCGAGACATTTTAGAGGAACATTAGGCTTGGCATCAAATCAGTCAAAGTGATTATTACAGAAGAATGCACTAACGTGGACAAACATTTAACGTTTTCCATTTTAATGTCAGAAATGACAGAGCATTTATTTGTTTTCGCTTACGAAGTCGCATTTTCTTACCTGAATACTTCGGTATTGTTCAATAACTCCATTGGTGGGCTAAAAGAGTCTTCAGAAAATTGACATTTAGAAACAGCCAAATTCCAGTTGATTTGTAGTTGCTGGTAACTTTCCAACCAGATTAACAAAAGCAAATTGATCCATGTCTGAGAAAACAGAACTTTCTGGGTGAAAAAAGTAGAGAAAATAACACCACGTAAATAAACGTATTATGCAGTAACACAGTCATTAATTCATGGGTTCACATGAAATTTACTGTTGTTACACAACTATTTTACATGTAGCATTTTAAGGTGTTCACTTTTAACCGTGAAAATTCAGGCTAATCTAAATTTCACTGTGCTTAAAACACATTTACCATTACGAAATCAGTTGCGAGATAATGAAAATCATTGACTTAGTATATGGTTTAACAGAGGTTTTCACTTAATGGCTTTGTTGTGATACGAAACTGGGGCCTGCATGGTTTGTTATGCTGGTGCGCTATTTTGTAAAACTTCCTGCCTAATGGATAAAATAACGAACATTACTTCTATAGTTTTCTTTCCAACAAACTGGCATGGATTTCATTGCCGTCACAAAGCACTGTTTTTCCGTTATTTCTGCTTGTTCTTTAAAAGTATACGCATTCGCTGATGACACTAGACATCCAGTTAGCATGATACCTGGCTTGGGAATACGACTGGCTCCAAATTCCTTACCATGGAAGGCAAGTTATCTGACCTTACATGGTATGACAATTTATATTTGACTTTCTGCTTTTTGTTGTGAGGGTTAGTGGTTGATAACTTTTGTTTCCTGAATGTTTCTATCAGTACACTTCATATCTTTCAGCTTAATATATTATAAAGAATTACACTTTACTGAGTCAAGAGTGTTTTGTCATTGTAATCTTTAGGTAATTTCTCTCCTTGTACCATATACAGATGAAGTGGCAAATGCGTCTTTAAACCGGTTGAATACACATAGGCCTCTAAACTTGAGCATGTTCTCAGTCGTTATTGTGTATACTGAAAAGCAAAATTATTGGCCTTTAAGTAATGCTTCTGGAAGAGCTTACAAAACTTATAGCCGTAGTATTTACTGTGTACAAATATTTGATGAGTGACTAATTTAATTCTTGAAATCTGAACTTTCCTGTAAGTACTGTAGTTGGTAATACTTACAAGTGTCTCATGATTTAAGAAATGAGTTTTCCGCATAATTTCACAGGACTATTAACCTATCCATTCAAAACACCAATGAAAGTTTTATTGAAACTCTAGTAATTTATAAAATGGTGTTCTAACAGAGAAGGCGTTTGTTAGTTGATTAACTCCAGTTCAATGTGCTCTGCCTACATTCAAAGCACAACACGTTAGCAACCTCTAAGCACTACTGTTTCTTCCTTTATGTCTCTATAACTTTGTTCGGCAGTGTTGTTCCCATATCTGGTAACATACAGAAGAAAAGCGGTTAAGCTAAGATACATTAATGAAATCAATCAGTATTATTTACAGTAATGCTTTCAACCATTCAGATAATGTTTACAGAAGGTGAATTCTCTCTTTTAGGTAGGAAGGCAAGCAAAAATTTAACTCAATTTTGAGGAGAATTTGTCTTAAAAACACGCGAAAAGGTGATTTTTCATCCATGGTTATGTACCATAGGTACTCATATGCAGCTATTCGAAACCTTTTTCAGACTTTTCTGCCAATCATATTTTGAGGTAAAAACTAGATGTTTGAGCTTGTGGGGATTTGATTCGCATTTTAGCTGATTTACACATTGAATGATCGTTTAGCCGCTGAGCAAGAAGACGATCATTCAACTCATCTGCCTAAATGAAATGATTTGCAGATACTGGTTATTGCATATGCACGTTGTAGAACCTTAACGAATTGGTGTCATCTTCCAGCTGTTATACCCTTTCTTAATTAATTCTGAAGGCAGACTTAGCTGCAGACTAATGTAAATAAAATTATTCAGATAAAGCAGGAAATAGCTGTGCGCAGCTACGAGGGAGTCTTAGTAACATTTGACACCAAAATAATAACTTGTTTGGGTTTCATGGCTCTTCATTCGCTATAATTTCCTTTACATATTAGGGAAATCTCACTACCTGGCTTTGACTTTAATCAAATATGATTCATAGTGTGTAAAAATTAAAACTGATGCCTACCTGGTCTTGCTTGCACAAGCTGATAAAACTTGGGATTCGAAAAACCCAGTTAATAAGTTTTTCAACCAATGGACAGAATGCTTTAGAAAACAGTTTGCTGATTACTATTTGATTTCCAGGATTTCTTAGGATCCAGCCGCTTGACTCAAATATCCAGTTTAAGAAAATGTTTATCTGATTTACGGAATCCACTTTTTGCATGACTATTTTGTTATTTGAACAGGGAATGTGCTCTTTGGTTTCATACTGAGATAATTTTTCAAGGCCAACAAAATCATAAAAAGGAGCTTCACTAATTGATGTTTGTAGCTCATCTGATATATCACCATTGTTATCATTAGATAGAACTGAATTCTTTTCAACCAGTTTATAGTATGGGATGGTATCACTTAGTTCATTGCAGTTAGATAATGTTGTGAACTGTGGATTGTAGGCTTTTGTACACCCTTCTAATTGTTGAATTGTTTTGTTTAAGAGTAATTCTTTCCTTTCTCTTTCATCTGTAAATCGTCAATGAAAAATACCTTTTAAAATAAATGAAATAGTGTTAGATAATTAAATAAATTCCCATTTTAATTGTGAAAGACAGCTAAGAAGTACTTTTGCATACAGAAGGATGACATACTGTGATATACAGTCAAAGACTAAGCTTAGTTTGTAACAACCCATTATTTAGTTTATTAAATTGGTATTTAATACGAGAATGCAACGAATTAAAAGATAGTACCATTTTATTCTGCTAAAACTGTAGTTCTTGTTTTGTTTAAATTTGTATTGATAAAAGAATATAACTGACCTTCCGGCAAACAGATAATTAGCCCAGCTAAAAAATCTCTTCATAACTGTGCAGAAATTTTCGAACGTATATGTTTTGTGCGTTGAAGTTTCTGCAGAGATTAGGTCGAAGTGAAAATGGATAGGACACACTCTAAGGAGACTGCTGAGTGATACAGCGCAACAGCCATGGCCTTAAGTGGAACCCGAACGGACAAAGGACAGTGTGGCGTCTGAGGGTGACATGGAGAAGACCGTGTGACAGGAGACAAAAGCCTATAGGTAATTGTAGTGCCAGCTAGAAAGGACTACAAAGAACAGGATGAGATGGTGCTATGACTTTGAAGCTCTATGTTCCACTGTGAACTTAGGAGAGTAATAATAACTGGCAGACTTATTAGAGAGTCGTGAGCATTTCGTGGTCATAAAAGCAGTCAGTCATTGTAAACTTCACATTATTAATCTTATATGGTGAATATAGAACACGTCAGTGTGCAAATGTACTGGACTATTGGAAGGCCGGATATATAGAAATGTCATCTGAATTAACCTCTTAAAACGAGTATTTAAAGACATATTTCCTTTCACATTACACCAGATCTTCAGATTTAATATTAGTGTCCTCCTAACGCCACTTCCTGATTAAGGATCATGGTGATTACAGTTTACAACATTTTTACTGATGAATGTTTGATGGTACTGAAGCTTCTGTAGCAGTTTCGTTTACAGGATGGGGTTTTTAGCCTCATGTCCGAAGAGAAAGTTGTTAGTAACAGAGGAGCAACTTTTTGGGTTGCTCTCTTAAGAATCAGGAAGATAAGAAATAAGACAATCAGAACAACAACAGTGCCTTGTTTGATGGTACTATTATCATAATGTTGGTAAAAGTTTAATTCACACTAATTATCTGCCTAACTTGAATTCACTTCTAATGTCCTCTGATGGTAGCACAGAGGATGCATCATGTTTAGTGAAGATTAAGGAGTTGCAGGTAACTAAAGTGAAATGTACTACTTCTTGTTTTCATACCGCTATTTCCTAAAGTAGGACGGACGGATAGTATGATATGTTTTGCGTCCTTACAGTCTTTCCCGAGTTATTTTACGCCAAGAACTTTTGGAAAGTTGTTAAAAAAGGTAAGCCAACTTGCAAGTGATAAATAGCTTACCCGATTAACTCATACTATAACTAAGGCAAACATTATTACCATCAATGCAAAAACATTCTGTTAAAAATAACAAGTGTTCACTTTTCCAGCAATACATGTTAACGTTTATAATGATAAAGACTTATAAGTGACCCAGCTAAATGACTAATCATACTTGTCAGATAGTGTTCAAGTCAAAGATAAACAAAAAATTATGCAAATACGCTTGCTTAGGAGGAACTGATTATTCTAGAAAAAGTTCCAGTAAAAGTATCTAGTTTATTTAACAATTTGTAAACTGTTGTAAGCTTTTCAAACTGCTAAACTACTACTGATGTCCATGTACCTATGATGGTGCATTAAAAATTCCATTTTTAACGGCACACTACACCATTGGTCATAACTCTTTTTTTAATCATTCCAAATGTTTATTCTAGCCTTCACTATCAAAATTTAATTAACCGTTAAAAAGGTGAAATTAAATTTGTGACAATGATAATAAAGGTAATTTCAATTCACCTGAAATCTCTACTATTGAAATATAGTAACAATAACGCCGTTTAAAGCAAACAAAAACGACTCACCTTTATTTTGCATGTTTAATTCAATCAAACTTTTGAAAAACTGTTCCTTGAGAGGTGTCATGTCACTGTTGTAATTGTGTAGGCTGTGGATGAAATTATAACCAGAATTGAAAGGATTGTTAAAAGTAGGAGACATGATTGGATTATTCAAAAGAGTCTGGTTTGTTCTCTCTGGCTTACAGGTATCATTATTATTATTATTATGTCTACTGCTGTCTAGATAAAGGCTGTACAAATCTCTCAAAGTATTATAAAGCGAAACTCGGATTCATGATTTGTTGATTGATAAATCTCATTTTCTGCAGTTTGTGGAAGTCTCTGAGTTGGTAGATAGCCTTTGTATTCTGCGGATGTTCCAGGCGTGTTAGCTAACAAATTATCATCGCCTGAAAAAGAGACTTCACTAATGACTGCCTTTTTTATATTCCTGGATACGTTGAAAATGTTTAATAAATGTAAATAAAACTTTTGCAAGTCGTTATCTGAAGACGATGTCGTAGGGACTGAATTCTTACTGTTGCAGTCATCTGCTGTTGTGTTTATTGACGCTGATGTTGAGGATTGTATAGTCTCCAATGAATTAATATAGAATGGCAGATTTGATATGTCATTTGTGAAAGACGTTGACGACATAAATGGAAAAGTGTTAGGTGTTTCAGAAGTGAGCATCGAATTACCTGGTTGCATTATATCAGCCAAATAGGTAGGAAAATTCTCCATTGTTATATGAGACGTATTTTTATTTACATCCAGACATTTAGCCTCGTTAAGCATACCTATTTTATTGCCTAGCTTCCTGCCTGGTAGCCTTCTGTAACGGAAAGAGTTCGAACGTTTTAATGGGTGAGTATGGTGTCTAGTTCTATGAACTTGGTCCCAATCTGATTTATCTGTCACAGTATTTTCGAAAGTGCGCATATTTTCTAATTCTTTGCATTCATTTATTGACAGATATTCAGGAAACGGAGCATTCTGTTTCTTTTCAGCAGATACACTAGCTGATTCATCAAACAGTTTCCCTCTATTCACTGATGGTTATCGCATGTAGAATGGAACGTTTTATCATCTGGTGAATGTGATATCCCGAAGTTTTGACGTTTACTTGTTGTATAACCATGAGCATTAAACTGAGAACTGTTTCTTGGCTGGCGTTCATTTTGGACAGCTAAATGTTAGAAAAAACAATATTTCAGTAATATATCAGATAGCATTAGGACTATAGATTTGGACCGTTTTTCTACTGCATCTATCACTTTCATACTAAACGTGGTGGAACTATTTCACTTGCTAAATATTAAGTCGGCTTTATTTCCGAGGCTACTTGTTTGCTTTTGGATAGTAGAGAAATCAAAGACTCATTTGTCACTTTTTCTGAATCTGAAAAACAGTCTACAGTCACATTTCAGTGAGTCGCGAAGCTCCCACTTGGTCTTCTATCGGACTGAAGAATATAAGTCTAACGCGGTTAAAAAACTGATGTCATCATCAATTATCCTGGTGATGAGACTTTTTGGAATTCAAGAAGCACATGCTGTAGTTATGTTTAGAGGTTGGGGTAATCAAATTAAAGGATCTTCATATAATAATGTGTTTTGGTTTGAATAGTGAATAGTTCGTCGTAAAAAAAGGTGAAGAGCTCATTCTAAAGTGAATAACATCGTTCAATGTTACACTTGTTCGAAATTTCCTTATTTAACTGGAATCACCGGCAAAATCCAGTGCTATCTAGCTGTTACTATAGTATTCTCATTACTATAGGACTTCTATCAGAGATAAACAAGGTGAAGTATGTTTTGAGTTACCGTGCTTAGGATGACTAATCTGCTATTATGCTCATGATGAAATTCACGAATTTCTTCACTTAGTTAAAGCAGTTGTAAAGATTTTACTGAGGAAGCCGGGAGAAATATCAGTCTCTTAGACGACAATGGGAAAATTATTGAATGTTGTAATATTTTAAGTGGCTAAAAGAAAATTAATATTCACTTAGCTGGTAATGGTTATTTGTAAAACCTAAAAGAAGAGGAGGGATTGAGGCCGTATTCAGAGTGAAAAATGGAAATTTACCACTAAAAATCCTTTGAATTCATTTTCTGTTTACTGTTACTGTTTTGTAAGTGATGCAGATAGTCTATGCCATAAGATGAATTTGCCATAATTGAGAAGTTGGTTTGGTCAGTAGCTGTACTATTGTATCAGCTATTGGTTTGCAAACAAAGTCACCCCAAAACTCCATTATATTCAATGGTTTAAGCATTTAACTACAGTGAGCTGCTATCTTAGTTCAGCTAAACATGTCTTATTTATGACTAATGAAGTGCCATTAGTTTAGCCTAGGAGAGAGGCATCAAGGTTAATTACATCTCATATAGTTGATTTTGAATTAGATCGAATGTCTCGTAAAGTATTTTTTGAAGACACTAGCTCTTACGTGTAAATTGAATTAAAGCTATATGCCCAGAACATGTAGACGATATGAGCTAAGTGAACGGTTATCCCAGTTTTTGTATTTCATTATTTAATGCACCTGCCTTCGAGTCTTCGGTCTTTAGATTACAATAACAGTATTTATGATGTAATATTTTTTTTATTTTTTAGAACTTACGGCTTTATCAGAAGTTTGCCTATTACACACATCGTAACATCTTTTGTTGCTTTCATTGCTATTACCCTTTAAATTGGTAGTCTGGGATCATTGTAACTTTCCAAGTTTAACAACCCACCTATAGTATTTTAAAGCCTCTTCTTATCCATAAAATGACTCAGATTTTGTCAGACACACATTCTGACTTACTTTTCACACATTTAATTGTTTCTTATCAGTGGTTATCCAAAATATTGTCTCTCTTTGTTAAGTGAATCCTTTGATTTGGTTTCTGATATTCTGACTTTAGAAAATAGTGATATTTGTATTACAAAAATAAAACACTGAAGCTGAAGTGGAAACCTACTTTACAGTAATTGTAATGCAGTTATAGACAAATCAGGTTGAAGAGTTACCATTTCAAACCATTTTTATTTTATTCCTTTGCGTTACGAGTAGGACTTAGTGCTTCCAGTTAGAGCTTTAAAGTTTCAGTTTCACTGGTGTATATTTTTCTCGAGGTAGGGTTATTAGCCTAACAGCCAACCTTTCGTCTTCCTTGGATTCATTACCGATTACGATAGCCTCAGGAGATCGTACTCCAGACCATACACGAGAGCGGCAGGTATTCTACCAATAAACCAACGAAACCCACCGTCCTGTGCCCAGTTTACATAATATGACATACTTCTGCTGCAAGTCTAATTCTGGAATATGTCATTGGTTGTCTGTGTCTTCGAAAGGTTCAAATCACTGAGAAACGTTTTTCTATTCCTATACGTTCCCAGTGGAAAATAGGGCTTCAAGTTAGAAGCTTGAAGTTTCAATAGCAGTGGTGTTAATTTTTATGGGATGGGCAGCTAGCCTCATGTCCAACCTTCCCGCTTTACCAGTCTTAATACTGGCTTAGCGAGGTAGCCGAGTGCGTCGATAGGGGACCTAACCCCGGACCACTTGCTTAGTCGGCGAGCATTCTACCGCTGTCCCACCAACACACTGAGAAACTGTGAATTCCTCTAAACTGCAACAATCAGGATAATTGGATGGAGAGAGGACTTTATGTTGATTGTCACTTCTTATATGTAATCTCATATTTACTGTTCCCAAACTGTTTATTTTGTCAGGACTTGACTTACAAATTCCATTTTCATTATCAGAATTCGGTTAACAGTTAATAAATTGAGATTAATTCCGTGATGATAATAATAATAATAGCTTTGAATTCCAAGTGTTACGTATATGCACTTTGCATTGTGGAAATTAATAAAAGAATCGTTAATAATCACACCACTCACCATCTTTATTCATTCCCATACGTATACACTTTTTCAGTCGACATGCTTGACATTGGTTCCTGTGTGCTTTATCAATTATGCATAAGCCGTTACCCGCTTGACACCTGTAAAAATGAAAACGTAATACATCAAAAAAATTTTTATCCAGTAATTTTCATATTAAGTTCGGTACCTGATATACATAACAGACTTGCAAGCAAAGTAACTATGATATTCCGAATGAATTCAGCATTGAATTTATCGCCAAGACGTGAAGTACAAAATCGAACCTCAGATAATGCCAGATCACTGTCATATTCATCCACACCCTGATGTCATTTTTCAGCTTAGATAACATATTCACCTACTACGTAATAATAGCGTCCAAATTGTATAGCAAAGGAAATTTGTTGTGCATAAATATGTACATACTTTGTGCAAGAAGCTATCGTGTTAAACGAAAGCTATTCATCATTAGATAAAAAGTTGTGAACTTCTCAGGTAATGAATAAAGTTCAAACCCTAAAATTAGGCGATACAGTAGAGATTCTAGAACATAGACACACTTTTCGGCGTCCAACAATTGTCATATTTCTTGACTTGAAGGCGGCCTTCGACTCCGTGGACCGAAAGTACTATGGCAATGTCTGACTGTGAAGGGAGTGCCAAGAAAGTACATTGCACTAATCAAGGCACTCTATTCAAACTCACGTAGTCGTGTAAGGGCTTATGGGGAATTGTCATCTGAATTGGTAACAACCAGTGGTGTCCGACAGGGATGTCCACTTTCCCCATTTCTGTTTAACTTCATCATAGATATGCTAATGGAAGTATCCTTAACTGAACGTAGTGACTTAGGAATCGACTTGTTACCAGGGAATAATCTAATGGACTTAGAATATGCAGATGACATAGTCCTGTTAGGGGAGGATGCTGACAAAATGCAGAGTCTTCTGAACACCTTGAGCAGCAATCTTCGTATGTTTGGCATGCGATTCGCCCCTGCAAAATGTAAGATGCTGCTACAGGACTGGACGACGTCAACCCCTAACTTAGTGATAGGGAGTGAAGTGATAGAACATGTTGACCACTTCACCTACTTGGGAAGTTGTATTAGCACCAACGGACTGATTGGCGATGAAATCTCAGCACGGATCCGAAAAGCTCGAGCTGCTTTCGCTGACTTACACCATCTCTGGCGTAGGCGTGACATCCGGTTATCAACCAAGGGACGTGTGTACTGCTCATCAGTTCGCTCCGTCCTTCTCTATGGCTCTGAAACATGGCCAATACGCGTTGAAGACATGAAAAGGTTGACTGCTTTCGATCATAGATGTCTGCGATCTCTGTCTCACGTTAGGTGGTTTCACAAGATAAGTAATGTTGACGTTAGGCGTAGAGTGTTGGGCAAAGAGGGAAAATCAATCGACGAGGTTATAAAGTTACATAGACTAAGATGGCTAGGTCACGTGGTGCGCATGCCTAACCACCGCCTCCCCCGACGGGCATTGTTAGCTGATATAGGTTCAGGTTGGAAAAGAGCCAGTGGTGGCCAAACAAAAACATGGCATCAATCCATGAAATCCTTGACAGTTAAACTGAGTCAGGTAGGGAGATGCAGACTCCCGGGTTGGGGCCCTCGGGACTCTAGGAATCAATGGCTGGAGACAATAGGTGACATGGCTCAAAATCGTTGTCAATGGCGCAGATGTATTCAATCTCTGTAATCTTTCATATTCCTTTCTACCATTACCCATTCTGTTTCACTCTTATATTTGTCAAACTCTATAAATTCTCTTCACTCATCTTCTTGTCTACCTCTGTGTGCTATTTGGAACGTGGCAACTCGAACTGCTGCACTTCGGTGCCAAGTTCTATGTTGAATCCAGACAGACAGACAGATACAGTAGAGTAAGGGATTAGTATAGGACAATTTTTAGCCAACAATTAGAAGTACTGAGTCAACACAAATGCTAAGAATATCCCATATTTTCAAGCATTGTGGATACCTTGAGTTCAGTTTTCCTATCTCATTACTCGTTCTACTTAGTAATGAACTGGTAATGAGTATTAGGGATGCTCAAAATTACTAGCTGTCTATGACCTGTACCATCAAGCACAAAACAGGGTGAACCATAATTGAGAAATTTAAATTTACACTGAAAATTTATCATGTTTAAACAAATCTGACATAAAACTGCCAACTTGTTACACATTAGTGACTAACTTCAAAGTATCTTCTGGTCAGTAGGGTCCACTAGATCCACTGTGAGAGTATTTACCCACTAATGACACTGCGTAATGGTTGTGAACTATGATGAATCATTGGAAGCTATCAGATTCCAGATGACTGTCTAAATTTTGTAATTACGTGGTCAAGAGTTCAGTTCCACCTGGAGTTGTCAGTAGACCCTGCTGAGGAATTTTCATATAAATCAAAATGACAGAATTAGGAGTCCTGTAAGTTCAATACAAAATCTGCCTTCAAGTCAGTGAAGCACATAAAAATGTAATAACTGGATTTGCTAGAATTTAAATTCTAAATTTTCAGTCTGCAGTTCAATCTTTAGAATTTCTTTGTTAATTTTTCGTAAGAAGAGAAAGAGGGTTGCAGGATTATAAAATTCAGTGATCCCTAAATTACTCTACCGGGTGTCTTAAGGAAACAAATAAGCAGTAGTGCTAGTTTTGGCAGACGAGTTCTAGTAACTGCACTTGTTGGTGCACTGATGGAGTTCTATTCTTCATTACACCAGTGGACATCGCTATGCTCTAGGTCCTCAAACAACTTCTTAAGTAACATACAGCATGAATTCCACACAATATACTGTTCTGATTAATAACAGTAGCCAACAACAACTCATCATAACCAGCAACACTTTCCTATCCCGCCCAGTTTAGCCAGCTGACTGAAATATTTTCATTTCACTATTTTATTCATTAAAATGGTAGATACTTGTTAATATTCGAAGAGTTATTTATGAGAACAGAAGTTGTTACCTGTATATGAGTTTTCTTCTTACTGAACGCTTGAAAAATCCACTACACCCATTACACGCTAAGATACCATAGTGCTTTCCACTACTAATATCTCCACAAACGATACAGTACAATCCGTTGTGACTAACACGTTTGATATCCCGAAATTTTGTAGTGAATTCATTTATTTCTACAGTTGCAGAGTGTTCAGATGTTGAGTCTGGTTTAGGCAAGTTATATGACTCAGAACATGTATATATATCTGGTTCATTTGAGTTTGATTGGCCAATCATATGGTCAGCTTCCATCGAGGATTTATTCTTCACAAAAGGAATGAATGCTTTATCTGCAAATTGTTGCATATCATTACTCATGAAGTTGAATCTCAGCTTATCATCTTCCGATTGACTTTCATTGTTTCGCAAAGCTGAATGAGACTTAGGGTTTGAAATTTCTCTGTTAAGTTGATTAGTAGAGGAATTGCCAATTAACCACCTCACTGGATATGTTGGTGGAGGTATTGACGACTGGTTTTTCATCAAATGTGTCAACCATAATGTAGAGTTAGAAATGAGCGTGGAGAAATTTAAGACTTCATTTATTTCTGTTGTTGGATTAATTAAATGTGGTTCTCCAAAGTGATTCATCAGCCTTAAAGCTCCAGTTGATTTTTCTCTCAAAGAAGTAACTGACGAACAAACGGTGTCTTCTGTGGACTGTATTGAATTGTTGTTGTTAAACTCTGAGTTCTTCATTTTATCGAATGTTGGCTTATTGTTTTGCATTTCTTCAATTCGTGTGCAGTATTTGTCTGTGTTACTTTTATCTTTATATGAGGTCGTTTGACTAAATACGTTGTCAGATATACTATCTTCGTGAATTATTGTATTACCAAGAGATATTTTATTCACGTCCATTTGACCAATACACGGTTTTTGATTATTTTTATTGTACTGTGGAGATCCAGCTGAAATAGAATAAAGCGCTATTTAATTAAAACAGAGACGTAAAAATACTAAGATTGTTTTACTTTTAACAGATAGAAATTGAGTATGAAATGAAAACTTTAAATCTGCCATGATTCTAATTAACGTTCTCCTAATTATTAGCCTTACCACAGGACCTAGTAGCTAATGATGCCTATTGTTTATTTCTGTCACTAATATCTGTGTTTAATTGTTGTGAGAATTAGTGACGTGTAACTGTCTATTGGACGTTATGAGATGCTTTCAGTTGTGTAGTGCAACATACAACATATGCTAAATATTGATACAAGAATAAAACTCTGTGTTGGCAGTGTACGTAATGCTGTTCTGGCTAATATTTGACTAAATATCTATAGGCTAAAAAGGAGATTGCCAGTGCAAGTCATGATAACCATATCGTTGCTTTTTATTCTAGAGCATTCATAAACAAAGTATTTTGAACCAGGTTAGAATTTTCATTCATTGGTCAGGCATAATTGGTTTTCGTTCTTGATGTATCATTGAAAGAAGTTGGCATTATGAATGTCATAAAAAATTTGTTGCCTACAGAAGGTTTGTCACCATTAGTAAGCGATCCCCATTGTAATCATAAATCAACATATGACTCTGCAGTAGTGGTTAGTTAGAAAAAAATTGAGGAAAGAAAATTAAAGTAGGTTGAATGCATTATTAAAATAATGTCCTAAATTCTCGTAACCAGATACAGCGATGTGTCCCGTTTGTTGACAGTTGTCCTGATCATATCCAGTCTTATCACTTTAGTTAACAAATGCTAAACCCTTAATGTCAGATTAGTGACTCCAAGTAGTTTCATCTTGAAATAATCCAAAGTATGAATTTACTTCATTTAAAATATGGGAATCGGAATAGATTTTATTCATTGCATGTTAAAAATGTTTGGTTTCATTTGTTTTAAGTGGGCTGAAACATGATGCTGAGTTGATTAGTGCAGAAAAATTCATACTCGTTAAGCTGGTGAATAGTTCTCACGAAAGTTGTACTAAATTTAAACACACTAGCAAAAATGCTGAGTTAAATATTTGAATAAAACTCAGGGGAATAAAAATTATTTTTGAACAATGCTGTTTTATGGTAATTTATCTTAGCTTCTTTGTAAGCAGATGGCATAAAGGTGAACTATAGAAAAAGCCTAAAAAACACTTTTCTCATTCTGAATAAAAAATCTGAATACTTCTCACTACGGACAAATTAATAGTATTCTGCAATTCAATGAGTGGACACCAAATAAGTCTATCAGTTTTAACATAAAGTCCCATTTTTCTGGATGTAAATTCGTAATTGACCATTTGCTAACAAAGCTTTGGATGGCTATAAACTGATTAATCCAGGTGATGAATTACCTGTGTACCATGTACAGCGAGACACAACGTCGTTGAACTGAAACCAAGGCTTGATGAACTAGTGAAACCTTGATATGATTATGAACAATAAATTGGGCTCAGAATTTCATCAGTAAATATTTCTGTGTAAAACTGTGTTATTTATCAAAATAAAATCTTTTCCTTAATGGAATAATAGTGAGGATAATATCTTGTTTGTCACACTTCATGGTAATTATACAGTGCAAATTTTTCAGATTTGAAAGACAAAAAACTGAGTAAAGAATATTCCTTTAGATAACTTACTCGTCTGGTTCTACAGTGATGTGTACAAAATATTTAAGGAGTAGGTTTTACAGACAATAATGCAGGAAAAGGAGCATTCCCTTCTACTGAATTACGCTGTGTCTTCAAAACCACTCTTCTTTTACGTTCGGGAGTAAAAGACAAACTGCCTAATTTCACCTCTACCATGTGTATCTACCAATTTAACTGCTCCTGTGGAGCCAGTTACATAGGCCATACAATTAGGCATGTTTCTCGTCGAATTTCCGAACATCACCCTGTGTGGTTAAGCAGAGGACAAACCAAATCTATTCGCAGCGCTATTCTATTTTATCTTGTGGAGACAGAACATAAGATTGACGTTAACCATGCTTTCACGGTCATTTACCGCATACCTACGAATCTCAGTTTTGCCTTAAGAGTTCAACTACTAAATACTGCTGAGGCTGTTAGGATCCACATTAAGAGGCCTAATTTATCCATCCAAAAGAAGTTAGTTCAGACATTATCATTACCTTGGCCACTTAGGTTTGAATGATCCTCAATTTTTGTGGAATTTTCCTAATTTTAGTTTATATTTTATTTGCTATTATATTTTTATTATTATTATTGTTATTATTATGATTTAAGCATCTTTAATGAACTGTAATTCCATTGATCTTACTTTACAAATCCATATTATTTAGAAAAACACAAATATTGTTATTGACTACTTATCTAGAATATTCTGTGTATATAAGCATACATATATAATTGTAGAGCCAGAAGAGGAAATTATCCAAAAGGATATTCTTCGCTCAGTTATTTTGTGTATTATAGATGTCTGAACGAATATTTTTGCTATAATAATGTAAAATTATTAGTATCAATAGAGTAACACATGTAAGTGATAATATGCATGCAAACGTAATACTAAACTGAATGTCAGTTAAAATAAGAACAGTACAATAATCTGAGGTACTGAAAACAATAATAACTTCCAGAAGGCTTAAAAGGAGGAGGGAATCGTCAGACTTTAACAATAAAGTAATGATGACCAAGGTGAAAGCGGCTGTACTAATTTCTTTTGAACACATAAGTTTATCGGGAAGAATATTCTCCGTTTAGTCTTCTTGTCTTCTAAAAGTCTAAATGAGGATTATTGTTATTGTTGCATATTTGTCGTCACTTAGTTTTCTAAATTAAAAAAATTATCAGCAGGACGAAGTCATTAGTTTATATCATATGAATAGCTTATAATTCATACCTAATTTCTAAATTTATGTGGTTGATTCCAGTTTCAAGCATCAGAAATTTTCATGAGTAGGATTTTTGCAATTTAAATACAATTAGAATGGATATAACATTATTTAAAATAAACTTTTTAATTATCTAGTAGTGTTTAGCTTATCTACTGAACACTTTAGAAAAAGAATGCCTTTTATCAACGTGTCAGTCACCAACGCTGCTAAGATTGTCAACCTTACTTAAAAGCCTGAACTATTCAGTCGTAATAAGTTATACTTGCATAGAAACTGTTCACTTTAAAGTAGCAGTAATTGTGTGGGGAAACAAAATAAAGTTATTCATCCGCTTGTGTGATACAATTCGGTCTCTAATTTCCAGTTCACTGCTTATTCTGTCATGCTATAGTTTAATAGAAGATTTTCTTTTTCACAATGTTTAGACATAGAAAGTATATAACTATGAGAATCAGAAAATACGCTTCTCAGCTGAATGATAGTCACGTGTATAGTCTAGTTGAGTGGATGTACACGTTATGTGGATGATTTTAATCCATATGAGTGTTTTTTCGTTGTATCAGTCTTTGCAATCATTCGGAATCACCACCAACTGCCTACACTCCACTTGTCAACAGTAATAATTTACTCACTGTAATCGCTGACCTTATTGTTCAACTAGGACATAAAATTCCGTATAGTACTATCTTGAATGGACACATTAAACCTTATTGTTCTTATATAGTGAGAACATTTTGTAAATATTACTTCTTACTTCAACTGTTTATTTGTATGTCATGTGATTTAAAATAATACGGTTTACAGCTAAATTGCATTTATTAGCTATCATCAATGTTATTTATACCCACTAGAGTTTACCGAGACATCTGCAGTAAAACAGTTGCGCTTTATAATTTAACTGTATTTGATTTACCACCTTCTACCTATTTCGAATGTGAAATATAAGGTGTAAGCTATCAGTAATCAGAAATTTGTTTGTTAATATAAGCGAGGAAATGTGCGTCGTTTTAAAAACCTCTAGAGTCATTAGGTAATGCACATATTAATTAGGTAAGAACCACGTTGATAAGGATACTAAATAGGCTTCCAAAGTCACCATATTTCAAGTAATATTACTTGTGCTTTGTCTGTTTGACTTTTACATACAACACATGCAATTGAAGGTCATATTAACAAAAACAAATTCGTATGTTCCGGAGGACTTGGCACAGACTCACTTACTATCCGGGCTATTTTTCCATTGTAATCTATCTAACTAGCTGTTTATTTTAACATTCGCGTACACAGATTAACATCTTTACTTATTTATAATTTTTCCTCTTAAATAAGCTTTCAATTATGCCGTTACCTGTTACTGATTTCTACATTTTAAGCATATAGTCCCACTATTATTATTATTTAATTTTTAAACTGTCATCTTCACTTTCGTGATTATTTTCGCTCTATTAAACCTTGAGACCGACAACATCTCATCTACTAATTTATAACCACTTTCATTCTTTAGAAGACAGCATATGCCAGTGAAGAGGTGCTAGTAGCTAGCTAACTCAAAAAACAAGTGTATATCTTTCTAAAGTGTAATTACTGCACTATTTTGTACTTTGTTATGTAAGTAAGCAATTACTCTGTCAAATGCCTCTTAAACAATAAATCTCCATCAAATGTTCATAGGTAGGGTTTAATGAACACAGATAACTAAGACCTGTGCGAGTGTTCTCCTAGCTTTGATTTTTGGTGGTGGTTATTTCATCTCCAGGCTTGACAACATCTTCAGCACTCGTTTTATCAAAAGACTGAGACACATTTACTATTTGTATGAATATTTAAATGTTGTTTTCGCTTTCGCGTTTTACCTTTGTCTAAATGTAATCGGGATAAAACACGTTTTTTTCATTACTAACGCAAAGGTTATTTGTTTAATGCAGTGTAATAATCTTCAATTACTTAATATCACCATATTTTAATATGAATGCTCCTTTTCAATTCTCTGTTAATGTGCATTTGAAAGTAAAGGTATGCGTGTTTTGGCAAGACACATTTTTAAGTTTCTTCTTGTTATTAGATGGTGGTAGTTTTATTCTAAATTCTATTTAAGAAGAGTCAAGATTCTCAGTT